CTCTCTGATTTATGAACCACAGTTCTTTCCTTCTGTTCCCAGGCAGCCTTTTTTTAGGTTGATCGGGAGACTGAGCAGAGGAGATGACTTTGGCTTTTCAGCGTCTCTGATGCATATAAGCTGTGTGGAGCATGGACCACGGTGCTCATTTTTTATTTTGGAAGAAAAGATCCATGTGCTTCCTCACTCTGGGCTGCTGCTGCCTCTTTTGAGAGAAAAAAAACAAAAAACCCCCCCAAATCCCTCCCCTTCCCCAAAAGAAAACAAACCTGTGTCCTGAGAAAGGATCTTCGAGTTGGGTCCATCTCCACCTCCATTTCCCATTTCACTTTTCACACAAATAACAAGTTAAGCTGCTACCCTGGACTCTGCGGTCCAGGATTGAGAAATTCACGTGAAGGTCCATTTATACCCAGCGACACCCGTCTCAAGTCAGGCTATTAAAAAGGTAAATGGCTTTGAGGAGGGGGAATCGATTAAGCATACGCCCACCAGCCAGAGGGAGGTGATGGCCGCTCTCTCCGAAGCTGTGAATGGAGGCTAGATGACCCTGTTCTCTTGCGGGGGTGTTCCCGCCTCTTAACAGACCAGAGAGATAAAGAAGACAAACGTCAGGAAGGCCGCCGTCTCTGTGCTTGTGTCGTGTAAAGACATTTGAAAACCCAGATGCCATCCATCATCAGTATCCTTCGTAAAGGAGAAGATGCCTCCGGTCTTTCTCGTCTCAGCTGTTACCCGCCCCTTCCAAAAGAGGGGCAGATTTGAAAGGTCAAGTGATCAGAGTAGGGCATAGTTTTTTACGTTGAATACCTTTGGGTTTATTTACGAAAAAATTCACTGCATTGTTCTCATTTTTGTATCGCCCAGGAACTGGGGACCCTCAGCCCTCAGACTCACCGTTTCAGATGCTTGCACCTGGGGGCCCTGCTCAGCAGTGAATGAATCGCGCACAGAAGACCACCTTTAAATCCTTTTCCGTGTGTCTCCTTGTATGGGTTTCCTTTTGTTGCTGTAGCAAATTACAATATAAGGGGTCCAAAGCAATGCAGATGTATAACCCTACAGTTCTGGACAGTGAAAAGGCTCAAGGTTGCGGCAGGCAAGCCTGTGTTCCTGCTCCGGGGAGCCTGTGAAGGCTCCGGGGAGGGTTGTTTCCTTGCTTTCTCTCGTGTCTCGAGGCGCCAGCATTCCTTGCCTCGCGGCCCCTGCCTTGTTCCACTTGGACCTGTGCTTCTGTGGTCATGTCTCGTGTGACTCTCCGGTCTCCCTCTCATGGGACCTTGGGATTACCCTGGGCCCCCCCGGATAACCTCGGACCAGCACCCCCATCTCTAGATCTCTAAGTGCATCTCATCGGCCATGGGCCCCTTTGCCTTACAGGGTTCTGGATTCTGTGACCGTCTCTGGGTCCATTATTCCGTCTATCACATTTTCCCCGCCCTCCTGCTTCCTTGTTCAACACTGTACCAATGTACAATCAAGTCCTTTGCTTTGCCTTTAAACGTGGGATTGTTGAGGCTGTGGGCGGGGCGGCCAGCATTGTGGTTCAGGCTCTGCTGTGTCCTTTGAGGCCACGTGGCATAAACCCTCTGAGGCCCCCTTCCCCTTCATCTGTGAAATTGTGGGTCTTTAATGCTCATTTCACAATCAGGAAGGTCCCCTGGAGGGGGCAATGGCAACTCTCTCCAGTGCTCTTGCCTGGAAAATCCCATGGACAGAGGAGCCTGGTGGGCTGCAGTCCATGGGCTCACAAAGAGTTGGACACGACTGAGTGACTCACACTTTCATAGCTGATTGTGGAATGTCTCTAACCTTTGTTTTTAAGGTTGTTGATCAATTGAGTTTATTTCTTTAAATCTCCGCTCTGCGTGCATGCTCAGTTGTGTCCGACTCTTTGTGACCCTATGGACTGTAGCCCACCAGGCTCCTCCACTACTTTTATTTATTTATCTATTTCATATTTATTTATTTGCGTGCACCAGGTCTTAGTTGCAGCATGTGGGATCTAGTTCCCTGACCAGGGATTGAACCTGGGACCCCTGCATTGGGAACGCAGAATCTTAGCCACTGGATCACCAGGGGAGTCTCAGAATTGTTTCTATTCGTGTATGAGCTTTTCACAACTGCCTTTCTGCCTACTTCAGAGATGGAGAGGCCACTACTTAAAGGTTATTGTGTGTGGGCCTTACAAATTCACATGGACCTGAATGTATTTACAGTGGACGTGTTCATTTTCTTTTATTTGTATTGTTTTTGACATTTTTTTTTTTTTCTGCATCAGTAATAGAATAGGCGTGCTGGCAGGGATGCTGTTAAGAATGGTGATAAATGCATTTATAGTTTCTAAAGGCTTTGGAAGTGGTTTTTCGGGGCTGGGAGAGGCTGGCATATGTTCTGAGCTTCCTTTCTCTAATGCAGTTATTTCTTGTTAAAGATTCACCATAAAATGCTAAATAAACTTAATAACTTCTAATAACCATTAATGTCAGTTGAGGCCATTTAAATTTTATGAATTTGGGTGAAAATATAGGAAAATACCTGGGAAAAGTGAATTTTCTATGTATGTATGGTTACTGATGTTTTATAATTTTTGTGTTCATGTGATAATCTCATTTTGGATTTTTAAAAAAGGATTCTGGTAGTAAGAGAAGTCTTTATAGCAGTAAAAACAAAATATCCCCAAACACAATAAAAAGATTTACAATTTACTGAGTGTTTACAGTTTCCTGGTGACTCAGATGGTGAAGAATCTGCCTGCAATGCAGGGGATACAGGTTTGATCCCTGGGTTGGGAAGATTCCCTGGAAAAGGAAATGGTACCGCACTCTAGTATTTTTGCTTGGAGAATCCCATGGACAGGGGAGCCTTGTGGGCTACAGTCTATGAGATTGCAAAGAGTCAGACACGACTGAGCGACTAAGCATGATTGTTTACTGGGGGCCAACCCATTGCATCAAATCAACAGAGCCGTCGGCAGCATTATTTTCTTTAAGACACAAAGTACTCATGTGCTCCTATGAGGTAGAAATCAGTCTCCTTATTTTACAACCAGGGAAGCTGATGAGGGAGAGGTAGATCATTTGCTGGAGGCCACTCAGGTCTACAGGGATAGAGGTGGTACCCTGCCTATTCTCTCTGCTTCCAGAGACCACAAACACATTGAATAGCTTGGTTATGGAGCTGCAACAGGAAGTGTGCTGTGGTGCTGGGCATTTTTGCAGAAAGGGGTTGAAAGAGCCAACACATGGAGTTGGCCGTCTGAAAGAGGGGGCATTGCTGGGAAGACCCCGTTGGTGGGGAAAGACTAAGGAGGGACACACAGGGAGGGACCAGGAGCGTATGGTTGGAAGGAAGGCCAGGTGGTCGGTCAGATGGTGGAGGGCCCCCCATGCGTGCATGAGACGTTTGCACGCCATGTGATCAGGGAGAATTTCAGCGATGGACCTGTTAACAGTGCCTGTAAAGGACAGTCTAGTCCAGCAGGGTGTTCAGGATGGATGGGTGAAAGTTTGACCCTGCTCGAGGAAATCTTTTGATGAGTTTTATTTACCTCAAGTCTGAAAAATCTTTTAAGGTAGAATCCATTGGGAAGGAATAACATCACTGTAATTTTTTAAAGTGAGAGTGGGCTAACTGAATATTTGGGAGTTGTAGGCATCCTTTTTTCACTGTGGTATTTCCCTTTATCAACATTCTTGAGCAAAAGCATGGCCTGAATTTAATGGAATGACTTTTGCATGCTCAGCTAGGAGGAACAGAACTGCTTTATGTCAGATAAATGTTTGGGATTTCAGACATGTGTTGTGTATTGTCAATTTGAAGGATTTCTTCTTAACATAAGACATATTTTTGCCTATTTGATTGTAATGCATTTTATTTTGGACTTAATAGCATCTTTGGCTCTATGATACTTTTAAAATCAATTTGATTTTCAAGGAATACTCAGTCCATGTGTCATTGACTTATAGACAGGAAAAAGTCATCTAGTAGAAAAGTCTGTAAATGGAAATATATGCTAGTATATGAAGTGATAATTGAAATGTTGTTGACAATAGCTTCAGTTTTCTTCCTATTATAAACGTTACTCTGCCGTGACAAGAAATGAGGTTCTCATCCATGGAACAATGTCCGTGCACCTTGAAAACACTGTGCTAAGTAGAAGAAGCCACTGGCTTCCCTGGTAGCTCAGCTGGTAAAGTATCCGCCTGCAATGCAGGAGACCCCGGTTCGATTCCTGGGTCAGGAAGATCCGTTGGAGAAGGGATAGGCTGTCCACTCCAGTATTATTCTTGGGTTTCCCTGGTGGCTCAGACGGTAAAGAATCCCCCTGCAATGCAGGAGACCTGGGTTTGATCCCTGGGTTGGGAAGATCCCCTGGAGAAGGGCATGGCAACCCACTTCAGTATTCTGGCCTGAATCCCTGTGGACAGAGGAGCCTGGCGGACTCCTGTCCATGGGGTCGCCAGGAGTCGGACACGACTGAGCGACTCGGCACAGCACAGCACAGAAGAAGCCAGACACAAAAGGATAATATTCTGTGATTCACTGGCAGGGTGGCTGGAGCAATCAGATTCACAGAGACAGAAAGTAGGTTACAGGTTGTCGGGGCTGGCAGGGGGAGGGGTGAGGCATTACTGCTTCATGGTTATGGGGTTTCTGTTTGGAGTAATGGAAAAGTTCTGGAAATTGATCGTGGTAACGGAGCTCAACATTATGAATGTAGCTCATATCACCGACGTGTACACTCAAAAATGATTAAAAAGGCAAATTTCACATCATTTTACCACAGTAAACCACTTGTGCTTGCCTGGTGTCATGAGTGGTTATGAATGTCTTCTGCTTTAAATGGAGGACCCTTGAAAGGAAAGGCTCGTTTTTTTGGATATCAGAGAGGATGATCCTGGCAAAGGCAGACTATTTCAGTGTTAAAAAGAGGCAGAAACAAGCCAGCTTAATCTCATCTTTACTAATAGCTTCTTTGCTGTTTTCTCTCTGAACAGCTTTTTATAACTATGATGCTCGGGGAGTGGATGAACTTTCTTTACAAATAGGAGACGCCGTGCACATCCTGGAGACATACGAAGGTGCGTATTTATTTTGGTGTGTTTCCTTTCACAATTGGTATGGTTAGGACACTTTCAGAACCTCATGGGCCAATCACTACCTTGTTAGGAAAGCACTTAACCGCTGCTTTTCTTGCACAATGGATGCTGTGTCAGGAACGGGCAGCGGTGAGGTTATCTGTTATTGAAGTCATTTTTAGACAAAATTAAGATGAACTTAAAATTAAACCCCTAAATTTTTAACCTCTAGAGTTTTCTGTTGAAATGGTCATTTTCATTAAGTGTTAAAAAGAGGCAGAAACAAGCCAGCTTAATCTCATCTTTACTAATAGCTTCTTTGCTGTTTTCTCTCTGAACAGCTTTTTATAACTATGATGCTCGGGGAGTGGATGAACTTTCTTTACAAATAGGAGACGCCGTGCACATCCTGGAGACATACGAAGGTGCGTATTTATTTTGGTGTGTTTCCTTTCACAATTGGTATGGTTAGGACACTTTCAGAACCTCATGGGCCAATCACTACCTTGTTAGGAAAGCACTTAACCGCTGCTTTTCTTGCACAATGGATGCTGTGTCAGGCACGGGCAGCGGTGAGGTTATCTGTTATTGAAGTCATTTTTAGACAAAATTAAGATGAACTTAAAATTAAACCCCTAAATTTTTAACCTCTAGAGTTTTCTGTTGAAATGGTCATTTTCATTGTTTTAAAACACCATTGTTTCCTTTCTTTGCAAATGAATGTATATACATCTTGGCTGTTAATAACTGACTGCTTGAAAAAAGTTTTTTTAAAAAAATACATTTAAGGTATTTTAGCATTTGGCTCAGTGTTTTGAGGTGTCTGATGTGAATGGTAAGACTTTTTATGTTCTCACTTAGACTTGTTAACAACTTGCTGAGAGGAACCAAAATTATCATGTCTTAAATCCTTTTTAAAAAAATCTGTGGCCCCATTTTCTGAGGGGTGAGCAGAGATTGTTTCCGCTACGTGCGATGTGGTCCAGTGAAGTAGTTGTAGTAATTATCCGATAAATACCCTGGTCGTGACCAGGTTTTCCAGTGTCCTTGGTTTTTCGGGCAGTTGTTTTCATATTAGTGTTTCGCGAATCATTAAAACGGGACCCCTTTCATTTTATGCTGTGGTTTATCACTGCACAGAAAAGAAGCAGTGATGGGCTTGAGTGTTAGATTCCTCACAACTGGATGTTTTGTGAGACTGTGTGGTGGCGCTGGTAGCTCCATTTCCTGTTGGAAGGGTGACCCCCATGTAACAAAGGAATAAAGAGAGCTGATTAAAATTGGTAATTACAACCGCAGAGTTGCTTTCAGATCGGGTTTAGCCAGACCCCTCCCAGGAGGAGGTGGGCTGGAGGAGCAGGGAGAGAAAATTGCAGACATCCCGTAGTAATCACAGATTGAACTTCACACTTAGTCTTCGGAATCCTCTTTGCGCACGAGTGATGCCTCGTTCGGCTTCTGCATCAGGCAAGCTGCAGCTTGCTCCCATGTTCCTGGAGAAGCACAAACCCATTAAAACACCTATGTCCATGTCCCTTACTTCCCCATCTGGCTTAGAATTCCATTTCATTTGCACCTTTTACCCTAAAAAATGTCCCACTGCGGGTGGAAATCGGCTTCTGTGGCGTATCCCTGGTAGCGGATGTGATGCAGACATAGACATGCTCCTTTGCCATGTGAATGAGTAGCTGCTCATGGGTACCCTCTGCTTATTTTAAGTTTTAATAGCTGACACTTGGATTGCCTTATGTGCTCCCAGTTTATATGGCCAGTGGCTGGGAGGAAACAGAAATTAGCTAGAGGTTAAGAATCAAACCTCTCATCTCAGACACTTTTTTGATCTCAAGGGAAGAACGCTCTTATATCTTTTTTTTTATTTCTGCCCCGGGTCAGCTGCATTTGAAATCCTGGTTAATAAACAGTGGACAGTGATGTCATTCCTGAATAGATAGCAATTTCCTGTGCAGCCTGGGCCGTGGGGGCCGTGACTTCTCGTTCTTTGCTTCGTAGGAAGAATGCACTCTTTAAACAGGAGAATCCTTCGGCGAGTCGATGATCCTCTTTGTCCATTTAACTTAAACAAAAATGGTGGCAGGCATTGATGTTTTGGCCAACATCATGATAAAGGAGTCTTTAGTGAGGATTTGGTTTCTGGGCTCATCCATCTTCCAAGTGCTGATTACAATATTCCAGTCTTTGCAAAGACCCTGTAACGGAAAACCAATTCCCCTTCTTTGACAACAGCCTTTTTGGTTTTAGTTACAATCCAATCAGAGAAATGTGTGGGGGGAATGCAGTTTTGCTTTTGGGAAACTTGGTGACTTGATTATCATTGGATTACAATGGAATAATTGTTTTCCTGCTCTTTGCTCTCATTCTGTTTAAATTTTGTGGATTGTGTTAGCCTTTGGCATTCTCTTCTTCTCAGCCCCTTCCACATTTTCCCCCTAAGAAAATTTATTTCCGTTTGTCAAATTTCATTTCCTTTTTCTCTGTGATCTTGTTTAGGGTAGGATACTGCTGGGATTGCTCCAGAGAATATGATTTCTAAATGATCACTCCTCATATTCAGGGTCAGAGAACAAGTTTACCTGCAAGTTATGGTTAATTTGTCCATCTCAGGCTCATGGAGGCTTGGAGCATGGAGCAAAGAAAACTTTCCGGGTCACCGTGGAGGTGGGCGGAACTTTGAGGGGTCCTTTCGGGTCTGTCCCTGCCTATAAGCAGTGTCCAGGGTCAGTTAGACAGAAGTGAACCCAGGTCACCGGTGTTGATAAAGTGACTCTCCAGTGCTCAAGCAGCTGTGGGTCCTTCCACCTGCTTATTTTCAGAAGGATCTCCAAGGGGTGTATGCTGTGCTGAGGGGGACGGCAGCATTTCCCCCAGATTAGGAAGGTGCTCTTGTGATAAAAACACAGCACTCTAACTTGATTCAGATTTTTCAAAGCGATCATGATCTGTTTTCTTCCACGACACACCTTCATCCCTTTTCCTTCCACGAGCATCCATCAACAGAAGGTCTTGTGAAGACCACCTCTGGGTGTCCTGGGGCGGAGGTAACAAGGTGTTGGCTCGGTGGCACGTTTAAACAACAGGAATATGTTCTCTCACAGTTCTAGGTCTAAGGGTTCAGGGTCAGGGTGTCGGCAGGGTTGGTTGCTTCTCAGGGCTGAGGACGCGAGGCTGCCCCACGGGTCTCTCCAGCCTTCTGCTCGTTTGCTTTCCTATTGGCATTCCTTGCCCGCAGGTACAGTGCCCTGGTTTCTGTCTTCAGGATCACGCGGCGATCTCCCGCTGCTTGACTGTGCCTATTTCTCCTTTTTAATAAGGGCGATGTATAAGATTAGGTCCTTTTGTTTTTTTAAAGGTCAATTCCTAAACTACTTAAAATGCTTCTGTTTTTATTTATTTTTGGCTGTGCTGGGTCGTCGTTGCTGCGTGGACTTTGCTGTAGTTGCAGCGAGTGGCGGCTGCTCTTCGCTGCGGTGGCTTCTCTTGTTGGGACCCCCAGACTCTAGAGCGGGTGGGCTTAGCAGTTGTGGTGCCTGGGCTTAGTTGCCCTGCGGCATGGGGCGTCTTCCGGGACCAGGAAGTGCACCCGTGTCCCCTGCTTGGGCAGCTGGATTCCCCACCCCGGTTGTTGCTGTTTGGTCGCTACGTCATGTCCACCTCTTCGCGGCCCCATGGACTGTGGCCTGCCAGGCTCTTCTGTCCATGGGATTTCCCAGGTGAGAATGCTGGAGTGGGTTGCCATTTCCTCCTCCAGGGGATCTTCTCCACCCAGGGATCGAACCGGCATCTCCTGTGTCTCTTGCATTGAAAGATGGGTTCTTTACCACTGCGCCGCCTGGGAAGCCCCTGTCTCACCTGAGCCCCAGGCTTTTCCTCAGGTGTGTCCTAGCCTTGCTGCTGGGGGCTTCTCAGATGCTGTGTGAGCGGATCTCTGCAGAGGCTGCCCTGCCCACCTGCCACCCCCCTCCTCCTCCTCCTGACTATAACCTGGAGCCATGCTTGGAGACTCTGTCTGAGCACGCCTCCCCGGGCTCCTCGCTGACTCCCGCCCCCTCCTCCGTTCTGTCTGGTCCTGTCTTCATTGCTACCCGCCCTGCGCTTGCGTGTGCGTGCGCTGGTGTTTCTGCAGGAAACGCTCTGCTGTGAGCACCGACGTGGCTGCCGTCTTCCTGGGCGGGATGGGGCCCTCCCTGACCTTGAGGACCACGTCTGACCTGCTCTTGCCGTTGGGCGGGTGTCTCTTGTTTGGAGCTGGTTGGTTGAGCCCTGCCTGGCAGAAGGGAGTCAGTTTGTTAATTCGACGAGCCATGCATCGCCCTGCTCCTGGCTCCATTCTGCCTGGCCTGTCCCCCGCAGAGCAGCAGCTAGGTCATCATCCTCTCATGTCCCCCTGCTGCCCACCATGAAGCCTTTGAGGGGTTGTCCTCTCTCCTTGATCCCCAGTCTCTGCCCTTGCTTGTGGTTTGAGCCTTGCTTGTCCTAGGGGAATCTGCTCTTGGAGGTTAGAAATAATTGCGTTTAATCTGTTTCTGCGTTTGCTCTCTCTGGTGAGGCCTCTTGCATACAGTCTGGAGGCTCAGTTGCTGGAAGGAATAACATGCAAAGATTCTTGAGAAGGGAAACCCTAGGTTTTCTTTTTTGCTTGGGAAAGCCATTATAAGAGAAACCACCATCTATTATCACAAAGGAAAAGAAAAAGGCTCCTCATCCTTTTTTAATCCCTCCTGGGAAACCCTTCTGCTGTGTTTGAAGTGAGTTTTTGTGTCGCCTGTACTGGCTGGCATGCATATATTTCTGTGTATATAAATGTGGTTGTAGTGCTCATTTGGCTCAGACGGTAAAGAATCTGCCTGCGCAATGCACGGGACCTGGGTTCAATCCCTGGGTCGGGAAGATCCCCTGGAGGAGGAAATGGCAACCCGCTCCAGTATTCTTGCCTGGAGAATGCCACGGACAGAGGAGCCTGGAGGGGCTCCAGTTCATGGGGTCACAAAAGTCAGACATGACTGAACCACTAACGCACACAAACGCTCATTCTGTTTTTACTTTTTTATCAGTGCTGTGTTCTAAGACGCAGCCCTGTTTGCAAGCGTTCAGTCTCTGGCCCTCACTGCTGTGTGTGACCCTCACATTTCACTAACCACCCCCCCCAGTGATGGGCACTCGTCCTGCCCCTCGCCTGCTCCCTCGGTTGTGTGGCTGTGGGCCTCCTGCGTCTGCCCCGCGGAGCGCGGTAGGTGTGCGAGTGTCTTTGGATGCGTGGCAGCTCCGGGGTGCGGGGATATATACTCTGGGGAAGAAGGGTCCTGCCCACACTGGTTATGCTGTCTGCCCCACTCTCTGTGCCCGGGGCTGCTTGAATCCTGCAGTGTTAGAACTTTCCTCACTCTAGCGAATTGTGTTCTAAACTGTTGATTTGATATGTGTTTCAATCCGATTATTAGTAAGCTTGACCATCTCTTCATTCATATGTAGGTCTTTTGGGTTTCTTCTCTACAGTGTTTATAAACTTTGCTTATTGTTGTCTTGGGCTCTGTCTTTTTCTTGTCTCTTGGAAGTATTTCCTTAGATGTTCTGGGACATTCACCCCATGTCAGTTTCAGGAAAGAAAGGGCATGGTAATACTGAAAATACGGGAGGGATAAAATCACAGGAAAGCAGGCAGTCCTCTATGTTAACTACAGCCTTTTGAACAGCTTACTGCATCGACCCTCTGTCTTTTTCCGTTTCTCTGTCCATGAACATGTCCCAGGTGGACACTGATTGTGGCTGGGCAGATGGAAACCTCTCAGGGAGACGGTGGAAGGCTATCAGGAGATAATCCTCAAATACGCAGCAAGATCCCGACATTCTGTCTCCCATGCCCCCTTATCACTGTGTAGTTGACTTGTCAGGAGTGAAGTGGGTTCACTGGTCGAATCTCGGTCTTAGCAAATCCTTCGCAAGACTCCTGGTGATTTGCTGCTTCGTTTCTGAAATGCGCGGAAAGCATCTGTTCATAATCCCTGGAGGATTTTAACTCCATCACTTCCTGCTTCCACTCCTCCTCTGGTTGTTAAATCATTACTGTGGAAGATGTGTCTGGTCATTGGTGGAGTACAGGTCCACTTGCAGTTTCTGGGCACCTTCGTTCACACATCCCTGATTTCCAGCATATGACAGTTTGTTACCTTATGATTGGTGACTTTGTTGAGTCGCTAAGTCGTGTCTGACTCTTTGCGACCCTATGGACTACAGCACACCAGGTTCCTCTGACATGTGATGTCCTCCACCATCCCCTGGAGCTTGCTCAAACTCATTGGCATTGAATCAGTGGTGCCATCCAACCATCTCATCCTCTGTCGTCCCCTTCTCCTCCTGCCTTCAGTCTTTCCCAGCATCAGGGTCTTTTCAGAGTCAGTTCCTTACATCAGGTAGCCAAAGTATTGGAGTTTCAACTTCAGCATCAGTCCTCCCAATGAATATTCAGAACTGATCTCCTTTAGGATGGACTAGTTTGATCTCCTTGCAGTCCAAGGGACTCTCAAGAGTCTTCTCCAGCACCACAATTCGAAAGCATCAATTCTTCAGCACTCGGCCTTCTTTAAAACCCTAGTATTTAGTTAGTCTCTGGGAGCTGACCCAGCTGGTGCTTTCCAAGTCTGTCATTCTGTTGGGGGGTGGTATCCTTCTGCTCCTGGGGAGCATAGTGGAAGTTGTCTAGGCTTTTGATTGCCTTTCCTGGATCGAGGTGACCTGAAGCACCCTCGAGTGTTTTGGGAGACATTCTGTGTGTGGCAGAGTCGGTGGGGGTGTGAGTGACTAGCCGTGGACCCCTGAGCACTGGCAGGGACGATTTCTGCCCTCAGCCTGAGCGGAGGGCCAAGGGTGTGGTCAGATCCTGCCCGGCATTGAATGTCCCTTCCACTGGGCCTCTGTCCTCTGCTCTGTTTGCTTGCCCTCCCACGTGGAGAGAATGGGAACTTGAATCTAGGCCAGCCCCTGAGGGGGTAGGTGGGCCTGTGTTCCTGGGCCTGGTGCTTCCTGTTGGGGGTCGAGTCTTAGCCACAGAAGCACTTTGTGCAATGTGACTGCTCCAGGGTAACCCCCCAGGCCCCCCTGCATCTCGAAGGGGGAGGAAGTCAGCTCTCAATAGGATTTCTGTTGTGTTGCCGCTGTTGATGATCTGAGGGTGTTGGTATGTGCGCTTGGCAGTGACCCCGCTCCATCCGGCGGAGGGACAGACAGGAAAATGCGCACCCCGGATCCTGCCCAGGGCCCCGTGGTCAAAGGGCGGCTTCTTCTTCTGGAGCTGGTTGCCACCCTCAGGACCACTGTGAGCAATGGAGACGAAGGAGCTGGAGCTCTTTGTGTGAAGCCCCTGCCCAGGCGTCATGCCTGGTTTTGCGATGATCTCTACAAACACCCAGAGCATCTCTGCAAACCTTAGGATGACTGAATTCTATGGCAGGCTGACTCCCGTGGTTCTGCAGATTGAGTTCTAGGCAATGGGAAGGTGCCGTTAGGGCCCTGTATGTCCCTTTCACTAACTGTTTCACCTTTGTGTTTGTTTAGGGTGGTACAGAGGTTACACCTTAAGAAAAAAGTCCAAGAAGGTAAGTCCCTATTATTAACCACAGTACATATCCCTTCATAAATCACCCTAGGAGAAGAAATCAGTTCTGTCCCACGGAGCTGAAGCATTATCCTTATACATCTCTTTCTCTGAATTAAGAAAATACATGAAATGTGGGCTACCCTGAATTGTTTTCTTTATTAAAATTTTTTTAGAAAACTTTATTTTTTAATTGAAGTATAGTTGATTTACAATGTCGTGTTCATTTCAGGCATACAGCAACGTGATTCAGGTACACAGACGTACATATATTTCTATTCTTTTATAGATTCTTTTCCATTATACATTACACAATACAGAGTTCCATACTGTGCGTGGTTGGAACAAGTATTGCTGTTGGCTATCTGTTTTATATAAGTAGTGTATATATGTTAATCTCAAACTCCTAGTTCATCCCTCCCGCCCCCAAATGGTTTTCTGAACAGCACATGTATGGAGAAATTGTTACTTCGTGTCTGTGAGTGAATGGCTGGGCTGTGTGGGGTGATGTTGACCTGTTGTCCTGAGAGCTGGGACCTTCTACCTGAGAGCTGGTAGAATTCTGCAGCCTGTCAAAGTACAGGTTGTGTAAGAGAATGATCTGGGTAGACTGGCTGCCGCTCATGGTTTTCAGTCTGCGTTATCCTTAATGATAAATTCGCAGATCTGCAGCGCTCATGCCGGCTTCTTCCCTTCTTGCTTGTAATTATTTTTATACCACTGACGTCAGCTGGCTAAAGAAAGAGGTTCTGCCTCCTGGACAGTTTGCATGTGTGGTTGTTTGAATTTCTGGGGCGAAGACGTGCAATTGCCGTGGACACTCCCGTACGTGGTTCTGTTGTGGCTTTTCCATTCTTAGCTTCACAAAACCTAATGATGGCTGTTCCGTTTCACTCTAAGCTGTGGTTAGGCTGTCCACGTTACCTTATAAAATCTAATTATGCTTGACAGATGGTTCCTTTTGCTTTTGTTTCTTAACTTGGCCTCTCATTATCTCCTTATTGGGCTGGGCTCCTCCTGTGGTCCTGAGCCTGTGACTAAGGCTGTTGAAGGACAGCTGTCCAAGCGCAGGGCCTTCTTGCTCTGTTTTTTCCCCAAACTCTCTGCAACCAGGCCCTGCTGGACAGGTGAGAGGTATCCATCCTCTGTTCGCTGTCACTTCAGAGGTGTCCAGGCTGAGCTCTCTGGCAGTCTGTCCTGATGGGAGAGATGCTGTTAGGGTAGCCTGCGGAGCCAGCTCTGCAGATGGGAGCCAGGACCTCCATCCTGACGCTGCCGAGCTCAGACTGGGCTGAGTCTCTCATGTTCAGTGACCTGAAGTCTTGAGGTCTGAACGAGGGAGAGGCCAACGTGGTGACTGGAGGAATAGCTCTCTCCAGAGAAAGTTCTGTTTTCACTCTGATTGTCTTTTCCATCATTTGGGGTTAGCAGATGCTAACTAGTACATATAGGGTGGATAAACTACAAGGTCCTACTGTATAGTGTGGGGAACTGTATTCAATATCCTATGATAAATCATAATGGACAAGAATATGAAGAACAATATATATGTCTAACTGAGTCACTTTGCTGTGTAGCAGAAATAAGCCCAGCATTGTAAATCAACTATACTTTAATTAAAAAAAAAATAAGAATGTTTTCCTGCAGATGAAAACCTCAGTTTCATCTGAGAAAGCCACAAGTGAGGACTTTATTAAAGACCTTAGGCTCACGGACTCCCCCGTCTACCCATGACAAAGCTGCCACTTCACATGTCAGGTGTGCCCCGGGAAGTGGTTCATTTTTGGATGCTTACTTGGTATTTGTGTCAGGAACCACTTCCCTGGTGGCTCAGATGGTAAAAGCGTCTGCCTACAATGCGGGAGACCCTGCTTTGATCCCTGGGTCGGGAAGATCCCCTGGAGAAGGAAATGACAACCCACTCCTGTACTCTTGCCTGGAAAATTCCATGGATGGAGGAGCCTGGTAGGCTACAGTCTGTGGGGTTGCAAAGAGTTGGACACGACTGAGCGACCTCACTTTCATGACGTTCCCCACTGGGGTTGTCTCCTGGTTCCCTGGTGTGTCCTAGTTCCCCAGTGCCTCCGTGAGCCCTCATCCCTCCTGCCTTCTACTGGAGAGACCTGACTTTGTCGCTTGCAGAGCTGGGCAGGGGCGTGTTTATTGTTCCATCTAAAATCTTCGTTAGCAGTTGAGGAAACTGACACCTTAGAGACGCTGTGATTTTGCATTGGCCCACCCAGTTCAGGCAGGGGCAGAGAAGGGACTTGACTCCCGCTCACCCTGACCCTGGGTTCTGGAAGCATCCTCTTACCAGTGTTCACAAATGAGCTCTAGATCTGGCCAGTCCTGATCGCCCCAGCTGAAGAAGTTGCTCATTTCAAGCCTCCAGGTGCGTCCAGCCTCATTTTTCCAGTCCCTTCTGTGACCCCATGATTGTCGAGAGCAGCTTTACTGAAACTGAGGGAGGTCTCTAGCTGTGGACGCGGGCATGGACGAGACTCGTTTCTTTAGGTACCCCACCCCCCAACCAGTGCTCACCTACTGACATTAAATGTGCATCCAGGGCCCATCCTGGCTTCTGGAGGTGTCCCCGCAGCTGGTCCGCCTAGTCCTCTTTGTTGCGCAGCCTCCGTCTTTCTGTCTGACTCCTGCCCTCTCTGTGATAATTCTTGTTTACATGAAGTGCAGCCTCTTTCCTGGGAGACAGAAGGGTCGGGAACCAGCAGTGTCCACTCCCTTTCCAAGCAGGATGAGTCGCGTGGTTTCTGGATCTCCTGTGTCAATTCTTTGGGGCCAGAAGGCTGGGAAACCCAGTCAGAAGCTCCTGTTTTCATAGCAGGTGACCGCTCCTGTTGGTTGACTTCCTGCTGCGTGCGTGGCATCTCAGGAAGCCGCCCCCTATTTGTCTTGTGCTGCCGAGACCCCCGCGCCACCTGAGACCCCCGCGCCCGGGGCCCCACTCTTGCCCTCCAGGTGCTCACCTCCACTTCCTTCCAGGAGGGGAGGTGTGCTTGCTCAGGAAGCAGGTCCAAAACTCTTGGGGAATCTCCTGGCCCTTCACGTACAGTGCCCAGGACTGACAGTCCTCCTGAGAAGCCGTCCCCTCAGAATTGCCTGTTGGGCCTTGTGTGCTGTTCACTTGGGGGTTGCTGAGCATCATCTTCACATCAACTGATGTCCCCCCACCGGAGCCAGGCAGGTTGGGTGAAATGTACCTTATTTTTGTATTTTATTGGACGGCCCCCTCTGTTTGGAGATTGATGAGAAAGTCTCTGCGTGTCAGGTAAGTAGTCAGTGCATATGTGATGACAACCATGTAAACTCGCTTTCTGTTGATAATTTTAGTATTTCAAAAGGAAGAGCTGTCAGAGGCCGTCATCAGAAATTGTTTTTAGGCATCAGTTGACTTTTGATCTGCCTGTGTCTGAAGTAAAAACAAGGTGTGACCTACGGAGAAGACACTGGAAGGCCCCATGGGATTTTTCCTTTGCAAGCAGAGTGCATCTGTTTTCTTCTAAGACTTTTGCAGCCTATTTGAAACACAAGCGAATTCAGTTGCCATCCTTCACACTTTGTTTTCTGTGACATGCTGTGACGTAGCATAAAGGCTTACAGATTTAATAGTGATCCAGTCATCCCCACCTCCACCTTTTTGGCGGGGAGGTGGGGTGGGTGGGCAGCTGTTTGATTGGTAGTCAGTAATCATATCAATACTACAACCTCCTGTCTCTTTTTCTCCCAAAGGGTATATTTCCTGCTTCGTACATCCATCTTAAAGAAGCCATAGTTGAAGGAAAAGGGTGAGTCTGGTCTTGATGTTTAAATGAAGTTGAGCAGTGACTGCATTTGACCTTGCTGCTTTGCGCAGGGCGACTTTGGGGGTTGGACAGTGGGTGCCTTTGATCCAGGGTGACAGGAATTTAGGGAAGGGGGGACTTCTGATCTAGAGCTGTCTACAACATGGCTTTGAGCCTTTAGGGAGTCTTCAGTCAGCACTGGAACCACAGTCAGCCTTATAGAACCCCATGTGGATTCCTGCTTCTTCCTCTGGGAGCCGCCCATCTAGCAAAGGCTGCACACCCCCCCAGCCCTGAATCCATTTTTCTGGAAGACTTTGCAGGATGTGATACAAATTCAGTGGAGAGAGAAGCAACAGTTGCTTGGTTGGGGTATGTGTGAATTTACGTTTTGCCTAATTGTGATGTATGTTTCTTAGAGGTCATAAAACTGATGTATAAGATCATTAAAAGGACATTTGTAGAACAGGAACCCATTAGGCGGGAATGGCAAATGAATAGCCAGGTGTGAACTTGCAGGAAGGAACAGTAAAATGTTTTCCTTTTTTGTCTCTGCTACATCTTTGCACTCCATTAAATATGTAAATGATAAAATTACTAATCATATGATTACTGCATAATCACATCTCTGCGGCTGATTGCGAAATTGCTTTTCCAGGCAGTGTACTTTTAACATATGAGAAGGACTAGGTTGGGCTCTGAAGTTCCATGGTGCATCATTAAAACAAGGAAAATAATTTAGAGGCATCAATGTGATGACCTGTAAGAGGGTCTTTTTTTCTACTGAGAGATTGTTTTGTAGGTGAAATTTCAGGGGGAAGTAAAACAAGGAAAGTTTTGAAACTTTTTACCCTAATCTGTGAACAAAATTGAATAAAATATTTTCTTGATGTATTTTATATCAGTTTGTATCAGGATCAGTATGGGTGCTGGACTGTATAGGAATCATTTTTTTTCAATGCCTGTTGATGTACACAGATGGGTGTATGTGAAATGTAATTAGGAAGAGTAATAGAAAAGGGTATAAGGGACTGTGTTGATTCTTGATAAGTACAGTCACACCCTGCCAGACAGATGGACAGGCAGACATTGGGTTAAGACTGCGACCCAGTTGGCAGTTAGTCCAAGAGATGGATCAGACCAATTAAGGAAGGAAGGTAAGAAGGATCCAGAGCGGAGATCAGGACGCAGTGGGTGAAGTGAGGTCCTCTCCACGTGGGAAACTGAAGCCTCATTGAGCTCCAGGTCCCTCCTGGCCAGTGGGAAGAGCCCAGTGGACCTCGCATGGAACTCAAGCTCTGTGAGATGAAGGCAGCCCAGCCGCTGACAGATGTCCTCGCGCTGTGAGTGGAGGGGCTTTATAAGGATGACATCACAGAGCGAAGTGAACCACACTTCCATCAACATCCTCAGTGGGAACCAGTCACGTCCTGTGAGAGAAACTGAAGATGTCCCATCAAAGGCTTGTTCTTAAAAGCGCTCCTGTGAGGGGCGGTCTCCCATCCATCCCTCCCTGGTCCCTGCTGCTCCCGCTGGTGCACGTGGTCAGACCTCTCCAGAGGGACTGACCCTCTCTCATGAACTCCTGTGTTTCTTCCTTGGAGACCCCCCCAACCCCCCCATCATTGAGTCCTTGCAGCCCTGAATCTCAGTTGCGAGCTACAGTCAGGGTCCTGCCCACAGGTCTGGGCCTCAGGGACCTATTTCAGTGCCCCCTGGACATTGCAGGTTGGTGGGAGCCTTGTCTGTTCAGGGCCTCGGGCCCAGGTAGTCTGTCTTCCCAGGCCACCAGATTCGGTCTCTGACTCAGACCCAAATATTAGGAGTCCTGCTTAGTGCAATGCCTGACCCAGAGCAGGTAACTGGAAAACAGCGGTTCATTGGATAAAAAGCAATGCACAAATAGTTCAGGAGTCAAGAATAAGGCAAGAGTTAAGCTTCTGGGATGGAGAGACAAGGGAAAGAGGATAATCAGAATTGGGGATCAGGCACCTGTGGACACTGGGAAGCTGTAACCTTGCCCATATTTTGCCAAGGGTAACCGCTTCATGTATTATCACAGAGTGAGTTTTAGGCAGGATGAAAATGTAAAAAAAAAAATTACCTTATCCCAAGCCTGCATTTTAATGCCACGCAGATTGGTGGTAATTTATGGCATCTGTAAAATAGATGGGTACACATATTATGAACACACTTCCCACTTGTCAGACCTTGACGTCCTGATGGGATATTGTGTGCCTCCTTCATCTTACCTTGGCGTGTGAGGTAGACGGCTTCCACGAGGGTAATGTATGAGCGTTCTCGGGCTCTGTACAGAATTACTTGTCGCTCTTAGAGACGGATGAAGACCTCCGTGGGCTTGGTCCTTTTTGTATGTTTTCTCTCCGTTGGCTTCCATATTGCGCGCTATGACCTGCGTGTGAAACTGGCAAGGTGCCCTTCTGTTTAATGAACCCACGACTGTCTCTGCCCTTTGCTTTCCTCCCAGGCAACATGAAACGGTCATCCCAGGCGACCTCCCCCTCATACAGGAGGTCACCACGACCCTGCGAGAGTGGTCTACCATCTGGAGGCAGCTCTACGTGGTGAGAAGACGGGACTCTTGTGGGTTTTTTTTTAATGGGAGGATGATCGCTTTACAGTATTTTGTTGGCCTCTGCCATACATCAGCATGAATCAGCCACAGGTGATTCATTACATATGTGCCCTCGCTCCTGAAACGCCCCCTCCCATCTCCCACCCCATCCTACTCCACTAGGTTGTCCCAGAACACTGAGTTGAGTTTCTTGCATCCCACAACACATTCCCACTGGCTGTCTGTTTTATATGTGGTAACGGGTATGTTTCTGTGCTGTTCTCTTAATTCGTCCCCCTCTCCCCTTCCCCTTCCCTCTCCTCTCCTGTGTCCACAATTCAGTTTTCTACGTGTGTGTCTTCACTGTTGCCCTGCGGATAGATTCATCAGTGCCATCTTTCTAGATTCCATGTGTGCTGTTTCTTCAGTGTCTGAGTCTATGTGACCCTATGGACTGTAGCCTGCCAGGCTCCTCTGTCCATGGGATTCTCCAGGCAAGATTACTGGAGTGGGTTGCCGTGCTCTCCTTCTGGGGATCTTCTCAACCCAGGGATCCATCCCGTGTCTCTTAAGTCTCCAGAATCGGCAGACGGGCTCTTTAACCACTAGCACCAACCTGGGAAGCCACTAAATTCCATATGCATGTGTTAATATATGATATTTGTCTTTCTGACTTACTTCACTCTGTATAATAGACTCTAGGTTTGAAGATGGGATTTTGAATCAGAACTTAGCAATAGAGAATGGTCTTTTTTGAACCTTGCTGAGCCAGAGGTTTAGTTTTCCTTCTTCTGGGACCCTCAGAAGCAGAACGTGTGGGAGCGAGTCTTGCTCGGCAGCCTTGCCCCCCGTAGCCCGGCCACCCTCGGGGACTGCGACCCTCCCACCAGCTCTGTGTCATGTGCAGCCGTGCTGATTGCAGTGACGTGGCTGTCGAGGAAGGGGCCGTGGGTTTCACCTTTGCTTGTACTGAAAAGGGAACTGGGCTGCTTTTAGACTTTGGAACACCGACTGAGGCCTCCAGAGCTGGAGTTCCCTCTAAGTTTGTATGTCGATAGTGAAAATGAAAATTTGCTTTTAAACCATCGCAGGTGCATCTTCATGGATGCAGTAGAGGGTGATGGCTGCTATCAGACATTGTTTGCCTGTAGATAATGCCTCTTACCATTTGAAGAAAATGACATGGTCTTCGAGGTCTCAGAGTGTCTGTTTAGACCAAGGGAGATGGTTTCCATTTTGGCTTCGTGTGAGATACCCAGTTCTCTGGATTGTGAAAGAAGCCTTATTAATGCGGCAGGATTGGGGCCCTGACACCTTCCATTTCGTATCCCTCTGGGCCATTTTCTTTGCATGTAAATTCATATTTGCAGATTACCTTTTGTTAGGTCTGTATTCCTCTTAAGGGTGTTGATTCCTCATCTATTGTCAGCGCAAAGCTTGGACGCTGGAGGGAAGGTCGTGCGTCAGTTTCTGGGGAACATAGAAGGCTTCTCAGCCCCACAGCTGCTCTCTGGGCAGCCTCATTGCTTTTGATTATACAGTGGTTTCCTATAAATACACAGTAATAAGCAGTTACAGTAATTGTTCATCAAATGTTCTCAAAAACCTACAGGCGTAAAGTTAACCATGAATATTTTGTGTAAATCTGAGCAATTTTGGAGTCGATATTTCATGTTAGCAATTTTTAGACAAAAATATGGCAAAACAAACAGGAGTCGATGCTGACTAATATGTTGGTGGACATGGTTTTAGTCATACAGCTCCTTAACAGACACTCCTAAACCTGGTTTCCTTTCTTTAAAAAAAATCTACCTTTGCCTCTTAGGGGTTTACACTGTTAGGTTTGTGCAAAGCCAAAGAAATACGCTTATTATATATGTGCACATGTGTTTTTGTTGCTTATAATATTTTTATATGTTCTGTTTCCCTCTGCTCTGTGGCAATAGACAAGTTTAGGAAAATATTAAGGATTTTAGTTATGTGGTAATGCTTTATGAAAATAGACAAGGAGAACTGATGAGGGAAACAAACGTAATTTTAGAATAAACCATTAGTTTTGATTATTTAGTTTTCATTTAAGAAGTCAAGATTATTGGATTTCCTTGCTGGTTGAGTAATTAGGATTTGGTGCGTTCACTGCTAGGGCCCAGGTTCAATCCCTGGTCAGGGAACTAAGATGTTACAAGCCACATGGCATGGCCAATAAATAATAAATAAATAAGAATTTGAGATTAGGATGATACTAACACGGAAAACTCATAGGATGGAAAATAATCTGTTAGGATGTGATAGGATGAGTGAGTGAAGGGGATCCTAGAAATTCCTAGAAAGAAGGTCAAATGCTATAAAGAGTGGAGGTGTGAAGTTCAGCTATGCAGAGAAGACATTATTTTAAAAGGTAGCAGTGACCACATTTACATTTTTTTTTGGCACCCTGACATTTAGAATTTTGTCTAAATGTCAGATTTAGATAAATCTAAATCTATTTATAGATTTAGTTTTATAAATTTAGATTTATAAATCTAAAACTATTTATAAGTCTAAATAGTTGGATTTCACCTAGGTTTCTGTTCTTGGAAAGAACCACTGGGTTCGTTTTCCTTTGGTTAATCCTTCATTTTCTTGATGAATTGTTCTCATGCTGTTGCAAAACTTGCTTTTCTTTGTACCATCAAATCCCTCGAAATATGCAGAAAGTGAGAAGTAGGTGTGAAGTTTGAATCTCATGTGTGTTTCCCTTCTGGTGAAAATGCACCAAGAGCTTGTAGATCCAGATATTGCCTCTTGCAGAAGCCTCTCTGCACGTTCAGAATGCACCACAGCCTAGGGCTTGGTCCTCATGTAGTCAGCTAACAGCCAGGGCTCGGGGTTGAGTTTCTCAGTGCTGAGAATCATCTGGGCGAAGGGCTTTCTGAAGATTCCTTAAGCAAGACCTGTAGGCTGGGCACTTCCTCAGGGAGCTTCAAGGGTTGCCCATTTCTGGTCCAGAGACTGGAAGTTCACGGGCTGGTTTTGGGGCTCCCAGTGCAGATCCTGCCCTGGTCCACTTTGGATGCAGGGCTACATACTCTGGAACACTGATCTGAATATGGAAGATTGTCCATTGTTTTTATACCTTGTAATCTTTTCATGTGTGATGGGAACCAAATCCATCTAATGTGTTCAGTTCCATGCTAAAAACACCATTAATCCGACATAAACAACAACCACAATGCTCTTTTAAATCAAGAACTTAACGGTTGGTTTTCCCCCCTCGTCTAGCAAGATAACAGGGAGATGTTCCGAAGCGTTCGACACATGATCTATGACCTTATCGAGTGGCGGTCGCAGATTCTTTCTGGAACTCTGCCGCAGGATGAGCTCAAGGAATTGAAGAAGAAGGTCACTGCCAAAATTGATTATGGAAACAGGTTTGTTTGTTCAAAAGATGATTTCATGCTTACATTAACCAAATATAATGGCATCACCGTAAGCCTTTAGGAGACTAAAATCCTATCTTACGACAAACAAGATTTCTAACATCAATATAATGTCACAGTTTTCTTTCTTAAAAGGATGAGGTGTTTTCTATTGCATCCGGAGTTTTCTGAGTCATTGTTGAAACATACTCTCTTCAAGAAGATGGGGTAAACTGTCCCCATCACAGTGATTCCCCCAACAGGAAATTTTCCTTTCTGCTGACGGCATTCGACCCTGAGTCCAGATGTGAGGGTCCTTTGTGTAGTGACAGGCATCAGGCTTCTTTCTGTGGAATCCTAAGTTCTAAAAGTTGGAAGAGACCTCAAAGTGCACCTTGAAACTTGAAACCAGTGTAGGGACACCGGATTTGGCAAACAAAAATAAAGCCAGCAAGTCTTTTTTTTCTTTTCTCTGCCATCCTGTGTACGGTTGCATTTGCTCCTCACCATGTCTTCTCACAAGACTTTCAGGATCGGGTGATGCGTGGCCAAGACACAAAAGCAGAATGGTCTCACTCCCCAATGGATTCAAATGAAAACTGGAAATAAAATCAGGTAGAACTCCAAAAGAAGACCTTGGAGGAGACGCAAGCTGAGTTTACAAGGAGCCTCCCATTTGAGGTGGCAGACACGTTTATGCTGTGTCCGGGTCACTGGCATCTTACCATATCACTCTGAGGACATCACTGCTGTCTGAAGAGTCGAGTATGTTTTATCGGGAAGATGATTTTTCTCCATGTGTAAGAGGTTTTCTGCACCAGTGCTTTGGTTTAGTAGTTTTGTGAGACTTTTTGGGAAAAAAAAAATCCACCCCCCTAAATTTGTACTTCTGAGAGATCATATAATTGTTCTACCAGAGTAAGTCTCATGCAAAAGTTCCCTCTTATCGCAGGGCACCGCCCAGCTCTGCTTGAGTGCCCTTAGCAGTGGGGCGCTTACTCACCCATCGAGGTGCGTGTTCCAGTGTTGGCATGTCTTCTGCATAACCATCTCAGGCCTTCCAGGTTCTGTAACCAGGACGAGGCTACGCCCTTTCCTGCTGGATGACTATCTGTTCGTATAATGCCAGAGCTGCAAGAAGCCTTAAAAAGTATGTGGTCACATGATCCCCAGATGCTGGTCTATATCAGAGTCACTTGGAAAACTTTCAAAATGCTGGGACCCACTTCTTAAAATCCTGATTTCTCACGTCTGGAATGCTGACTGGAAATCCCTGTCTGTGAAAATAGACTTGGACCGTGATGGCCAGCAGATTGGGGAACTACTGGTTCAGTCCAACCCCCTCATTTTACATGTTAGAATATAAAGCTCAGAAAATAGGACAGCTTCGCTTCGAGCCATTCAGCCCAGGGAAGACCTGGAAAAAGGAAAGAAGCATTTTATATAATCAGAATTATAACAATTCTGCTTTCTGGTAATTCAGACTTTCAAGTGTGAAAAGTTTCTAAAAGCTACATTATCAGTAAGATGTAGTGTTTGGATTAACTACAGGAGGTTTTTGTTTTTTTTTCCCCCCAGAAAGCCAGAGACTTCTGGGTTTAGGATATTAGATGTTGTTGCAATGAAACTCATTTCAAGACCACCTGCTTGAAAACTAAACTTCTGGAGCTTTGATTTTATTTCCTGTTGGAGTATCACATTTTGAACTTATGTCCAGAAACCACCTGCTTAATTTGGCTGTGGGAAGTTACCAAAATACATTATGTCATGGAATAATCTAGTTAGGAAAGGAAGTATTTCCAAACGTGATTTACTACTTGGATAGGAAATGCAGTCCTTAACAAGACAGATTTTTGTCCAAGAAACTCATATCCACCATACACAAGTATAGTGCAGTGGTTCAGCACGACTCACAAAACTAAACCTGCTGATGTGTTATCAGACTCACCCACACAGGGCGTTCAGGTGTGTGACCTTCAGAGAAGAGAAGTAGGGGGTTAGTTCGTCTATGTGGAGGCTTTTTTGCAAAGTCAGTTTGTCAACTCTTCGACTTGTAACTGTTAAAAGACATTCTCTAATTGAATTTATCTTTATTTCAAAAGATGTTTTCTTTTGTCTTATGGTTAAAAAAATAAAAAATTTGCTGCCGAGAGTTGGGCCATAAAATCGAGCCATTCAGCCCAGGGAAGACCTGGAAAAAGGAAAGAAGCATTTTATATAATCAGAATTATAACAATTCTGCTTTCTGGTAATTCAGACTTTCAAGTGTGAAAAGTTTCTAAAAGCTACATTATCAGTAAGATGTAGTGTTTGGATTAACTACAGGAGGTTTTTGTTTTTTTTTCCCCCCAGAAAGCCAGAGACTTCTGGGTTTAGGATATTAGATGTTGTTGCAATGAAACTCATTTCAAGACCACCTGCTTGAAAACTAAACTTCTGGAGCTTTGATTTTATTTCCTGTTGGAGTATCACATTTTGAACTTATGTCCAGAAACCACCTGCTTAATTTGGCTGTGGGAAGTTACCAAAATACATTATGTCATGGAATAATCTAGTTAGGAAAGGAAGTATTTCCAAACGTGATTTACTACTTGGATAGGAAATGCAGTCCTTAACAAGACAGATTTTTGTCCAAGAAACTCATATCCACCATACACAAGTATAGTGCAGTGGTTCAGCACGACTCACAAAACTAAACCTGCTGATGTGCTATCAGACTCACCCACACAGGGCGTTCAGGTGTGTGACCTTCAGAGAAGAGAAGTAGGGGGTTAGTTCGTCTACGTGGAGGCTTTTTTGCAAAGTCAGTTTGTCAACTCTTCGACTTGTAACTGTTAAAAGACATTCTCTAATTGAATTTATCTTTATTTCAAAAGATGTTTTCTTTTGTCTTATGGTTAAAAAAATAAAAAATTTGCTGCCGAGAGTTGGACCATAAAGAAGACTGAGCATTGAAGAGCTGCTGCCTTTGAACTGTGGCTCTGGAGAAGACTCTTGAGTCCCCTGGACTGCAAGGAGATCAGACCAGTCAATCCTAAAGGAAATCAACCCTAAATATTTACTGCAAGGACTGACGCTGAAGCTGAAGCTCCAATACTTTGGCCACCTGATGTGAAGAGCCGACTCATTGGAAAAGACCCTGATGCTGGAAAAGATTGAAGGCAGGAGGAGAAGGGAGTGACGGAGGATGAGATGGTTGGATGGGATCACCAACTCGATGGACATGAGTTTGAGTGAACTCTGGGAGATAGTGAAGGACAGGGAAGCCTGGCGCACTGCAGTCCATGGAGTCACAAAGAGTCAGACACAACTTAGTGACTGAACAACAATAGATTTTCAATAAAAAGAAAAGTCCCAAAGGCAAAGTAACAGGCATCTGTGGTTAAGATCCTCATGTCTTATTAAAAGAAAAACAGAACACACCACCGTTAGTAAAACTCTTGGTTTCTTACTTTATATAGTCACCTTTGTGTATTCTTTAAATAAAATCGTGATAAAAACCACCTAACGGGAAATGGAGAGATTGTTGCCAAAAAACATTTCCAGATATAGGATGGACAGATTTATCAGCCAGATGCTGCCTGTGTATTAAGTTGGCCACTACATTTAGCCATCTGGCCAGAAAGTTTTCTTAACATTGCTGTGGATGACTTCCATATGTTCCATGTTGAAACAGTAGAACGTCTTTATTGAAAATCTTCTGATAGGCTAATGAAGGGATTAGAACTGACTGTAGGTAGAAGGAAAGTAGTGCCGTGGAACCTACCAGAGGAAGTGGTGAGTGTTTCTCTGCTTCAGCTTTTCCTCCCTCCCACCTCTCCCCAACCTCCAACTGTATATATATTTGGGTATATGGGTGTGCATGTGGCTGTGTATACATACCACAAATTTATATACATACACACCCCCAGTATGTGCATAGCATGTGTGCGCTTAACTGTCCATATTGTGCATGTAGTAATTAGCAACAGACATTTCATTTGGGCTTTCTAGATCTGTGAGTAAAAGTCACTATAGCAATGGAAGTCACATTTGAGTAATTTTTTTTTTTTTTAATTCCAAGGGCATACATTTTAAGTTAAAATGACAGTGACCTCGCAGAACTATGTTTCCTGATACTGTGAGAGTAACCCAGACTTTTGATTTCATCTTGCTCAGTTGCTAGGACTGAAGTTTGTTGGTGAAGTTCTGACTTCTTCTTGTTCTAGAATCCTTGATTTGGACTTGGTAGTGAGAGATGAAGATGGGAACATTCTGGATCCAGAACTAACTAGCACGATTAGTCTTTTCAGAGCTCATGAAGTAGCTTCCAAACAAGTGGAGGAAAGATTGCAAGAAGAAAAAGTAAGTTCAGCTCTCTCTAACATGCCATTTACACCCAGGGTACCTTTTCTCAGTAACAATTTACAACATTAGTGAAACATCACCAGGGAAGCTCAGGATTACATTAGCTACACCATGAAAAGGCCCAGCTTCAGCATGTATTTCAGACAGTGATGGATGGAAGGGAGCCCAGCATCAAAACATGCTGCGGATGTCTTGAAGGCTTTTCATCCCTTGAGTGGGGACAGGATTTTAATGACACTGACTTTGTGGTCTTAACCCATGGGCAACAGCACTCCATTCTGCATTTCCTCTTTTATAGGAGTAGGAGAGGGGTGTGTCTAAGCTTGATGAGGGCAGGGAACATGCATCTTACTGATCTTTTTTGTCTCCCATGGCCATTAATGGTAACCTTGTATGTAGTCAATACTCAGGACGCAGTCGGCTGATTGAGTCATCCATTCATTCAGCAAGTGCTAAACGTCTCTGGTGCGCCAGGTCCTGAGGCCAGAATGATGAATAACACAGAGATGTCCTCAGAGAGTGTGACCTGATGGGAGAATCAAAAGTTGAATAAGCAACTGCACATGTAATCTCCATTCTGATTGATTGACTGGGGCCCTCAATGTTTTGTATCTGAAGTAAATACTCAATACAACTTCTCACGGTACTGGGATCATCGCCCCTGGCATGTGCTTTTGAGCTGGGCTCGCGCAGGTGTTGACAACATCAAGGAAGATGCTGCATGAAGGGCTTTGCTGTGTTATTGCAACTGGTTTCGCGTGGTTTTCTGTTCTGCAGGGGATGAACAGAGCAAGCGTCAGCCACGAGTGTTGCTCGTGTCACCTTTCTGTCCTCTTGTTTTGTTTCCACTGACAGTCTCAGAAGCAGAACATAGACATTAACAGACAAGCCAAGTTTGCCGCCACGCCTTCCCTGGCCTTGTTTGTCAACCTCAAGAACGTGGTCTGTAAAATAGGAGAAGATGCCGAGGTGCTCATGTCTCTGTACGACCCTGTGGAGTCCAAGTTCATCAGGTCAGTGACAGGCCCCTGTCCTTCCTCTTTGGTCACTGCTGGGAACGTGGCCTCAGAATCACCCCCAAAGTCTCACTTTTGTGGGGAGCCCTTGGGACGATCAGCTGGCCAGACTTCCCCCAAGCAGCTGGAGTCTGGGCCAGGAGCAGCTTTCCAGCAAGGACGTGGATATTTGATCGTAGAGTTGGAGTCCTGTAATGTTTTCAAAACCTGGCAACTGCATGGCTTAAGGACTGAAGTCTTGCTTCCTGTTCTGTCTTTATGGGATGCTTTGTTTGTGGGCCCCCCTCCCCACTCCGCATTGCTCTCATCCCAATGTTGCCTTTTCGAGCTTTGGTTCTCTGTGAATGTCATTTCTGGACCTTTGACCTACTATTATTTCTCCAAGGTGATTGGATGGGACACAGTGTCTTGATTGGTGCCTGCCACATAAAGGCTGTCTGTCAGTGAATATGTGTTGAATAAAATATTGTGAATCCAGTCTCTGTCATTTCTCGTGTCTCATGTTCTGTCTTTCCTAGTTCTTGTTTTTGTTCCTTGGTATAATTTTCTCTTTGTCCAGATGGAAAAAGTATGGTTTGGACTGTGTGTGAAGTAAGTGTGTATGTGTGTATGTGTATGTGTATAAAGCTCCAGAATCTTCACTCATATTATTGAAAATTTAAGAACTTAGTATATGGCAGAAAACAGAACAAATTTCATTGCCACTCCTGATAAAGACTTTATTTCTTCTTGTCATAGGATTTCGTATGTATTTTTAGGTCATGTTTGGCTTATGGCAGGCTTGAAAATCATCATGAAGTTTTACTTTGAATAAATAGTGAGTTTGAGACTGTAGTCATTCGAAATGAACAAGTATGCTTTTAATAAAAAAAACTTTTAACGTATACACACTACTCTGTATAAAGTACACTGTACTTGGACCTACTGTATAGCACAGGGAACTATATTCCATGTCTTATAATAAACTATAATGGAAGAGAATCTGAAAAAGAATTTATATATGAATAACTGAATCGCTGTGCTTTACACCTGAAACAAGCACAGCATTGTTAATTAATTTTTAAAAAATTGTTAAAAATATAATAAAAACTATGAAATGCCATTTGCAGATAGGTCCTTTCTGGTTATAATCCTGGACATCCAAACTGAAAACCTCAGGGATTTTGTACGGGCAGACCTTGAGTACTATGCTGTATGGAAATTACTTGTATGTCAATGGCAGAGCTGCTCTATCTGATGTGGTTGCTATTTCTGAACCCATACCATTGTCTGCATAATGGACCTCCATGATGTTAATTAAAAGTCACAGAGGATGTACATTTGGTTCCCTGTTCTGTTTGGAAAATTAATTTGCTTTAATTTCTTTTTTTTTTTCAAGTGAAAACTACCTGGTTCGCTGGTCAAGTTCAGGATTGCCTAAAGACATAGACAGATTACATAATTTGAGAGCTGTTTTCACTGTAAGTGCATCCAAAGATGTTCCTTTGAATTGCTCACCATTCTAATGACTGTTTTTAATGACCCCTGTCTGACTTCTCACCACCCTGGAGCGTGGGTCCTTGGGATGCCGGGACTGCTTGTTAATTTCCTGTAATAACGTAGCTGCCCAGAAACCTTCTGGGTCTCTAGTCACCCTTTGAGTCCCCATGACAAAGATGTACTACTCCATGATGTTGAGTATGTCTTTTAAACTTGGATCTTAAATTCATTTAGTGCGGATTGACTTTTGTGATTCAGCTGCTCTTTGTCTTGTGAATCACTTATTATAAAAACTGGTTGGAAGAGAAGAGTGGCAATCTATCTTTCTACTGTCTGTTGCAATTGAACCTGCCTTGAGTAGCGCTTCTCCACAGTAATTTGTGGAAATTAATATTTCCAGGACCTGGGAAGCAAAGATCTGAAAAGGGAGAAGATCAGTTTTGTGTGCCAGATCGTCCGCGTGGGCCGCATGGAGCTGAGGGACAATAACACGCGGAAGCTGACCTCGGGCCTGCGACGGCCTTTCGGGGTGGCCGGTAATCCATTTCCTTTCTGTTCCCGAAGGCTCTCGAGCCCAGCACCTCTGCTCTGAATACGAGCTGCTGTTGAATACTGGGCCGTGGGCCGCTTGGTGTATAAGCTTGTCTGTTGGAGAGAAGAAACGTGTTTGTTCTTCTCCGTGAGGGTTCACGGCGACACGTGGCTCGGGGTCTTTGTCCCACCAGCTTCGGGCGCAAATCCCGTCCTTGATAGGACAGTGGACCCCGCGTCCTGGCGGAGACCCTGACCCACATGCCCCACATACTCCTCCTGGAGGGAAGCTAGTCACGGAGGGCTGCGGTGTTTCTGACTTGGTGATGGACTGATTTAGGAATGAATCTGCACAGAATAGGCCAAGTGATGAAGAGGCAGAAGGAGAAGAAGCACAGAGGACAGAGCTCTCTTCACATAGGGGCTTTTTTCTCTGCGGACATGTGCTCTATTTTGTTTTGTTTTTGGTGACGATGCAGGAAAAGGGAGAGAAATCGGCCGTCTCTGC